TATAGGATGTGGAATAAACGCATCAAAACAAACCATTGGGAGCTCTTTTAAACACCTGAGTTGATCAAACGTTGAATAATAGCTTCCAGAGTTGTACAAGAATGTAGTTGTATTGCCATTTGGTTAAAAGCTTCAAAAACTGCTTGGAGCACTCTTAAATGATTGTTTACGTTCGGTTAAACTGTTTGACAGGAGCCATATAGGATGTGGAATAAACGTATCAAAACAAACCATTGGGAGCTCTTATACAACACCTGAGTTGATCAAACGTTGAATAATAGCTTCCAGAGTTGTACAAGAATGTAGTTGTATTGCCATTTGGTTAAAAGCTTCAAAAACTGCTTGGAGCACTCTTAAATGATTGTTTACGTTCGGTTAAACTGTTTGACAGGAGCCATATAGGATGTGGAATAAACGTATCAAAACAAACCATTGGGAGCTCTTATACAACACCTGAGTTGATCAAACGTTGAATAATAGCTTCCAGAGTTGTACAAGAATGTAGTTGTATTGCCATTTGGTTAAAAGCTTCAAAAACTGCTTGGAGCACTCTTAAATGATTGTTTACGTTCGGTTTACCTATTTGCTTTATAAGACCCACGAGAACTTTTATAGCACCTTAGTCAAACCGATTGACAGGAGCCATATAGGATGTGGAATAAACGCATCAAAACAAACCATTGGGAGCTCTTTTAAACACCTGAGTTGATCAAACGTTGAATAATAGCTTCCAGAGTTGAACAAGAATGTAGTTGTATTGCCTTTTTGGTTAAACGCTTCAAAAGCTGCTTGGAGCACTCTTAAATGATTGTTTACGTTCGGTTAAACTGTTTGACAGGAGCCATATAGGATGTGGAATAAACGTATCAAAACAAACCATTGGGAGCTCTTATACAACACCTGAGTTGATCAAACGTTGAATAATAGCTTCCAGAGTTGTACAAGAATGTAGTTGTATTGCCATTTGGTTAAAAGCTTCAAAAACTGCTTGGAGCACTCTTAAATGATTGTTTACGTTCGGTTAAACTGTTTGACAGGAGCCATATAGGATGTGGAATAAACGTATCAAAACAAACCATTGGGAGCTCTTATACAACACCTGAGTTGATCAAACGTTGAATAATAGCTTCCAGAGTTGTACAAGAATGTAGTTGTATTGCCATTTGGTTAAAAGCTTCAAAAACTGCTTGGAGCACTCTTAAATGATTGTTTACGTTCGGTTTACCTATTTGCTTTATAAGACCCACGAGAACTTTTATAGCACCTTAGTCAAACCGATTGACAGGAGCCATATAGGATGTGGAATAAACGCATCAAAACAAACCATTGGGAGCTCTTTTAAACACCTGAGTTGATCAAACGTTGAATAATAGCTTCCAGAGTTGAACAAGAATGTAGTTGTATTGCCTTTTTGGTTAAACGCTTCAAAAACTGCTTGGAGCACTCTTAAATGATTGTTTACGTTCGGTTAAACTGTTTGACAGGAGCCATATAGGATGTGGAATAAACGCATCAAAACAAACCATTGGGAGCTCTTATACAACACCTGAGTTGATCAAACGTTGAATAATAGCTTCCAGAGTTGTACAAGAATGTAGTTGTATTGCCATTTGGTTAAAAGCTTCAAAAACTGCTTGGAGCACTCTTAAATGATTGTTTACGTTCGGTTAAACTGTTTGACAGGAGCCATATAGGATGTGGAATAAACGCATCAAAACAAACCATTGGGAGCTCTTATAAAACACCCGAGTTGATCAAACGTTGAATAATAGCTTCCAGAGTTGAACAAGAATGTAGTTGTATTGCCATTTGGTTAAAAGCTTCAAATGCTGCTTGGAGCACTCTTAAATGATTGTTTACGTTCGGTTGAACTGTTTGACAGGAGCCATATAGGATGTGGAATAAACGCATCAAAACAAACCATTGGGAGCTCTTATACAACACCTGAGTTGATCAAACGTTGAATAATAGCTTCCAGAGTTGTACAAGAATGTAGTTGTATTGCCATTTGGTTAAAAGCTTCAAAAACTGCTTGGAGCACTCTTAAATGATTGTTTACGTTCGGTTTACCTATTTGCTTTATAAGACCCACGAGAACTTTTATAGCACCTTAGTCAAACCGATTGACAGGAGCCATATAGGATGTGGAATAAACGCATCAAAACAAACCATTGGGAGCTCTTTTAAACACCTGAGTTGATCAAACGTTGAATAATAGCTTCCAGAGTTGAACAAGAATGTAGTTGTATTGCCTTTTTGGTTAAACGCTTCAAAAGCTGCTTGGAGCACTCTTAAATGATTGTTTACGTTCGACCAACCACCAACCACAATTTTGTTGCTAAAAATAGCACAAGTGATAGGCACGTTTATATGACCATAAGGCAATGATTATTCGACTGCAAGAGAAGTCACTCAAGATGAGCTTCATATACTTCTCTCATATGATCAAAATATGTATTCAAGAATAGAGCAGATGGAAACAGAAGCGGCTGGCAATCCGGGATCATGAGTTCGAATCTTGCTTCGAGAAACCCTCGGTGGAGTAGAGGTAAATTATATATATAGGTGTTTATTAATAAATGCAAACATTAATTTAAGACATATATCATATAATCAACGATAACATTTCTAGATAAATTCTCTAAATTAATTATTAGGGAGATTAATTGAAAGAATATCAATCAAAGATTAAACCGATGCTAGTTACTACTACTTCCTCCATGATCACAGAATGTGAATTATGGCATAATTACATATTTTGTCAATGTGCACAAATAAATTAAATTAATAAAAACTGTACAAGCAATTATTGTGGCGTACCACAACAATTGTTAAATTAATTTTAATCTGTGAATATTGTGAGTACTTACACAACGGTTATTCAGGAGTCATTAAAAAGTGCTATAAACGCTTTTCACCGCTTGCTGTACAATGATTATTTAGGAGTCATAAAAGAGTGCAACAAACGCCTCTCAGGTTCACTCTCTACTAAATTTCAAAGCAGCTGTCAAGAAGTGTCTACAAACGTTGTATAAGAGCTTTCACCAAAATAATAAAGCTTGAGTTTAAATATGTATCTATAAACGTTGTATAAAAGTTGCGTCTACTCCTATACCGCGTAGACATATAATGCTGTAGTTGAACAGGTTCTCCAAACCAGTGTAAACAAGAGTTTTACAGAAGTTGTAATAAACAAATTGTGCAGTTATTATTCAGCATGCAGTTGAATAAAATCACAATGGAAGCGTTTCTTCAACAAGAAATTGATTTTAGGCAAACGTTTTACTGAATACGTTAGACAACACCTTTGTGTTGCAGTTGTATAGGTTCTCCAAACGAGTGTAAACAAGGGTTTTATAAAAGTTGTGGTGAACACATTGTGCAATTATTATTCAACATGCAGCTGAACAAAATCAAAACGAAAGCGTTTCTTCAACTGGAAATTGTTACTTGGGTTAGCGACAAATTTCGACGAGCTTTGGAGGACGATGGTATACGTCATCAGAAGACCTGTCCTTATACACCGGAGCAAAACGGTACGGCGGAAAGGATGAACCGCACATTGGTGGAGAAGGCTCGCTGTCTACTAAACGATGAATCGCTCTCCTGCTATGTCCATCGGAGGGAAGACTCTTGAAGAAGTATGGACAGGGAAAAAGCCAAGCTTGAAGCATTTAGGAGTTTTCGGTTCAAGCGTGATGGTCCATGTTCCGAAGATGAAGCGTAAAAAGTTCGATCCAAAGGCGGAGAAAGGCGTGTTTATTGGATATTGTGAAGATACCAAGGGCTATCGTGTATACGATCCGGAGCGAAACGATTTCATAATCAGTCGAGATGTAATCATGATCAGCAAAAGCATTCCAAAGTCCGTTGCAGCTTGTGAACATGATTCGAAGTCAGTCGAATTCATGGAACTGTTCACAGAAGAAGTCGTAGCATAGAGGTAACTCTAAGACAAGTAGGTCCCGAAGAAACGTGCTCAACTTTTTGGCTCACCTCTGGTACTATCTTCGGTCCCAAGCTAATCGATGCACCCCTCGAAACATAGGAAAAACCAATAACCCCTCATTTTATCTGTCAAACTTTCATAGCGAATCAAAACAAACATTGCGTAGTACTACACAGAAAAAAAAGTTGTTGAATATTACATCCAAACTGCTGCAACCAGGTCAATCCATCGGTTGTGTAATATAACGTTGTACGATGTACATCGATTTTGCGAACAAAATTACATCCATTGATGTAATATTGTATCTGCTTTTTGCTATTACATCATAATTTCATACATCAGCTTGAATTACATTGATCGATATTACATTTTTTTTTTGCTGTGTAGAATTTCGACTAGAATAGGGTACGTTAATCGTTTGCTTGGGACTAATAGCATAGAGGTAACTCTAAGACCACTGGGTCCCGAAGAAAATCATTATTATTTTTGGCTCACTCAGTACCAGAACAACGGTCCCAAGCAGTCCCAAGCTATTTCACTCACCCCTGCATGTTCTGCATGAATCCACACACCCCTGATGTTATCTGTCAAACTTTCATAGCGAATCAAAACAAACATAGTGTAGTAATAGAATTTCAACTAGAATATGGTACGTTAATCGTTTGCTTGGGACCAATAGGCTACTAAAGTGGTGAGCCAATTTAAAATCGTTAGTTTCGTATTGATTGTTGCTAATAGGCTACTAAAGTGGTGAGCCAATTTAAAATCGTTAGTTTCGTATTGATTGTTGGTCGTAGTGCCTATCGAATGTTCTGATGAGAACGAAGTCAGCTCTGAATTTTTCCCTCGATTTTTCCAACAGAAGAAAAATTATCGATATAAAAAGTGGTTAAGTTTTAAGCATCGATGAGTATATCAATGTTTCCGTGCACGGTTCTCCGAGCAAAAGCCTTCCCTCTCTGATATCGAAATCCTTGAACCCATCGAGGCGCGCACTCTTTTGACAGTTGGAGAAAAATTTCAAAAACCCGATGTAAACAAACGCAGTGCAACGGACGCCACCGCTATTATTTTTATTTTGTTCCGTTTTTTTCAGTGAAATTACCCAAAATATCAACCAAATAATGCCAGCAGAAGTCGTAAATCTGGCAAACGTATACGCGTTTCTCCGTGACGCGTACAATTCGATCGATTTCCAGCTGGCACCGGCTCCGACCTATATCCAGTCGGTGGCTGACGTTGAGGGCAAAATCGTATTCATTTACAAACAGGATGAACTGCGGAGCAGGGCGCTGCTCACGGATGGGAACAACTTCAGTCCGAAGATGGGCGACGATTCCCAGCCGAATTTGGATCTGACCGGTTCGCCGCTGAAGGACGAGGTAAAGCTGGAAAACTTGGACATGTCGGCTGAGCCGGGTGTGGTACTGAGTTTGAAAAATCCTTGGCTCGAGAAGGAGGAATGTTTCGGACCGGTGTCGGTGGAGAAAGGCCGGTCTATTCTTCAGGAGGTACTGGGTAGTGGAATGGGTGGCAGTGGCCATTTGTGGGCACTTTGTGATGGGAAGGATATGGACCGGACGTTGCTGCTGCAGGTCGAGTTGAATGGTGAGAGGCGGTTTATGAGGGGAGCGGTAAAATTGTTGGGATACTTTCCGGAGAGTCATCTTACCATGGGTCGGTTGCAGAGAGTGCACGAAGTGAGGGCCCCAGGGTTCACGAAGGAACTGGAGACGAGCATAGAGTTGTGGTACAAGATCCAATCTCACATCAGCATCAAGTTGCGATGGATCAGCCACTCGGAGAATCCTTCGTTTTGCATCAACAAAAAGGCGGACATCATTCTACGGCAGGCGATTCAAGTTGACGAAATTCAATCCGTGGCGGAGTATTTTTGGAGTCAGTTGCACCTGCTGGAGACGATCCGGGATCGGATTTTGCAGATTCGAAGCGAAGGGAGGCCCAATCCGGACGACGGGTGCTACGTCGGATCGCTGGATGTCGGTTTGATCAAGGAAAAGGCGCACAAGATTCTGACGGAGTTTTGCATGGTCGAATCGACCGAGTACAATCTGGGTCAGATTGCTTCGATCGTCGAGCGGGTTAAGAATCGGACGGCCGTGGATGTGACGGATAGGCTGTGGAGTGTGCTGAAATGTGAGGTTGATGCCGGTTGATGGATGGGGTTGATTTTGAACTTTGGTTTCATTTTAGATTGCTCGTGTTACGACGATTTGAAGGATGTGCTCACATTCATCTTCAAGGCAGCATCCAGAAGTAACTTGGCAGTGAGTAATGGGTAGATTTGGTTGAAGTGAATGATGATTGTCCTTTGTTATCCTCAGAACATCCCCAGCAACAACAACCGTCTGGCGCAGCTGATCAAATCGATTGCCCAGGGTCGATTGGCAATTCCGATCCTAACCGGAGCGGAACCATTCGAACTACTCCTGGAGATTGGGTTTGAAAAGATCTTCAAAGACTATCAGATCATCTTCCACGAGAGCAAAATCTGCAACTTGGATTTGGGTAAAGTCGGTCGCAGTGCGAAAGGATCCGATGCTAGAAACAACTCGCGGGCTTCCAGCATTCGCAAATCGATGTATGAAGCCGTTCCGTCGTCGACTGGTAGTTCCGCCCAAAGCCGGAAGACGGCTATACTTTCCGGCACCGGAGACGGCAGTGGGGATCACGACGATGATGGTGCCATCCGGAACAGTTACTTCAACGCGGATGAAGCCAATTTGAAGATCGGCAAACTGGCCCAGGTTCATCTGCTGTTGGAGCACCTGCTGTCGATCGAGGCGCATCTCAAACTGACCAGCATCTACCCACAGGTGGCGGAAGAGTACTTTGCCCGCCCGACGGTAAGTTTCGAGGAATTCCGATCGAAGAAAACGGACCAGCTGGAGATTCCGATTCTGAACAATAAGATCATCGAGCTGGTGGAGAATGGCAGTCCGTACATCAGGCGGATCGGAATGACCAGTCGGACTAAGTTCAGGACGGTGCAAAGCATTTTCTACCAGAGCTCGGATCCGATTTTGCCCACCAATCTGTTTCCGCAGCTGAAGGCCGAAGGTGGCGAGGTGAAGAATGCGTATTGGTGTTTGGAGTATACTAAGATTCTCAATAATTGAGCGCGGTTCGAATCTTCTAATGTACGGTTCATAAACTTAAGTCTTTTGCATGTTGAGGAACAACTCCTCGCTGTTTGCTCATTCGAAAGAACATTCATAAATGTATTAATTAGATAAATTTAGAGCAGTGCTTTGAAATGGAATACTGCAACTTGCAACTCGCTGATAGTTACGCCAAATTAATGCAATCCAATTCTCAAATTAAGTGGATCAGAAAGCATAATCCTGTTTCGAACTCCATTTGCTGCGATCGATGAGCATAACCAACTAACAGGACTACCGAATTTTCCTGTAACCTTGACACCCTCGCCAGGATCAACCGAAAACACGGAATAGCGAACGACGCAAGGCCACGCACAGCCAGATAACGAACAAACAAGTGTGTGTGTCTGTGTTTAGGAATGCCCCGGCAAATCCGTTTTAGGGAATCCTCCCAAATGCTCAGATTGAAGTCGCTCGGCTACGACTAATCGCTTGTGTTGTTGTGAATGATGGCGACATGCACTGACTAGACTTCGGTGGTTTGTCGTCTCTTTCTGTTTGCTGTTTTGCCTGAGGTTTAAGATTCATGCTATTTATAATGAGCTGTTGTTTTGCCTATCGAAACGCAATTCCACCGGTCATAATGTGATATGTTAAGGGAGGATGGCTCACTCTGCGTGCCAAGTCACGTGGCAGTTTGTTGGTAAACAGGTACATATTTGGAAGGCCTCCTAACATGTTACCAGGGTCCAGGACTCAAATTGCCCTTGAAGGATTCTGTCATGCAGCTAGGTAGCTGCACCCAGGACCTGTTGTATAAATCCCGTAAACATCTGATGCCTAGTTGAAAAAACTTAAAGCACTGCCATGAAAACGTTAAAATAGGTTTTTTCAATGTACCATCACAGGGCGCCAGGCGAGTATGAAACACAAAGTATACTGTATATTATGTATTGTATACATAATCTAAATCGTTTATGTAGGAGAACATGGGGCAATTTGGATATGCTAAAAAAAAAATCACATTTCAGCAAAAAAATCGAGTGACAGGACAAATCGATAATCAGGTAATTCCGGAGAACTTCGAGATTTGGGCGTAATTGCTTGTGTAAACAAACACGTCTATCACCGATTTCTCGCGAATCAAAGCTCAATCTCGAAAACTCTAGATTAACAATTGAAACAGGCGGAACAACCGAACGTAAACAATGGCCTTAAACACAAAATTCTCTAGAATCAAAACACTCCCACGTAAACTAACAATGCCATTCGATAAAGAAAGCTTGCACTATCAGATGATGATCTAACACCATTATCTGATAGTGCAAGCTTTCTTTATCGAATGGCATTGTTAGTTTACGTGGGAGTGTTTTGATTCTCGAGAATTTTGTGTTTAAGGCCATTGTTTACGTTTGGTTGTTCCGCCTATTTCAATTGTTGGTCTAGAACTAAACTGGTAGAGGAATGATTCCTCTATCATTTGGTTAGTTTGTTTGCGAGATTGAGCTTTTATTCGTGAGCAATCGGCGATTGACGTGTTTGTTTACAAAAGCAATTACGCCCAAATCTAAGTTCTCCGGAATTTTCCAAGTTGCATCAAGCCATATACGATTATCAAACAAGGTGTTGTAATTCATAATCATAGTAAGCAGACTGAGGGATGAAGAGTAAACATTGACATTCTTCGATGCAATATGCAATTGGTGTAAATATTTACATTATTTGACGAATCTCAGGTAATCATGACAGCAGTAGGTCTCTTTTCTTCATTCAAATTGTTTTCAATAATCAAACGTCATGATTACCTGGGTTTTGTCTACAGTTCAGAAGTGGGATAAAGCCATGCTGCTTCGAAGTCAAAAAAACCTCTGAAGAATTGGAAACTCTCGAAATTTTGGAACGTTCAAGAGGAAATACTGCTGCTACTGGTGAAGAGTCTGGATCCGTTTGTAATTCATGTCTCGAAGAAGGATTTTCTGCAGCAGGTATCGCCGTTTCCGGTTTGAATTGTTGCCCAATTTCTGAAGGCAGACTTTCTGGAGCAGGTATCGCCGTTTCCAACGCAATTAATGCTGCTGCAATACAGTTTCCCGACCGGTGTTGAATCACATCGCTCATGGAATTGGAATTCCAGTTCATGAATTGAGCCAAGGAAATTCTGGAGCCGCACGAAATTTTCAATCGTCGGAACCACCGCATCAAGGTAACTTGTACTGCAACCAACAAAACGCTTGTGGAAGTTTCAAATTTTGATGATGCTGCCATTCTTTGCTGGTAAACCTAACGAAGATGTATGTAGCTGTGCTGGAAGATTCAAAACGAGCGCTGTTTGTGAACGATTTTGTCATGAAGCTAGTGGTTACCAAAAATCTCAAAGCTAAAACTCTAGCCTGGTTACATTCACATCCGGATTATATGTTGAACTACGACGAAATAATATGAAACTTGAAGGAGATGTTCGCTGTACCAATGAATACGTTCGATCTACGCAGACGTTTGATGAAGTGCAGCTGGTCTGGAAGAGGTGAATATTTTGCCGAATATTCCCAATCGAAACGGATTCTGGCCAATGTGGGATATGCGTAGATAAACCGTAGTGAATTAACCATAGCTCTTGGTTCTCCGTTTATCATGCGATGATACACACACTAGCACACCAGCACGTTCAGAGACGAACAAGGCTTCACGCCTCCTTGCATCAGGGCTTTTCGATCACAGACAGTCCTACAGGTAAAACGCTGTCCAGACTGGAGAGTTATAACATGTTATAACGGTTGTCAACTAATTGCAACACAGAAACCACCATCAAGATAGCGCTATAACATGTTATAACTCTGTAGTCTGAACGTACTAGTACATAGTTCCGATTAGCTCTGGTGTGTCGGGTGATTCCCGACTGCTCTCGGGTGGTTTCCGCAGCCAAGAAACTGAAGTTATCTGATTGAGAACTTGTCCATAAACTACGTAGACAGGTTGGGAGGGGGGAGGGTTGGGAATTATCCACGGCCCATGCAAATTAAAAAAAAATATGGACAATTGTTTACGCAGGAGGAGGGGGAGATCAAGAATCCCAAAAAACTACCTACGTAGTTAATGAACAGCCCCACGTTGAAGGCATTGAAGTTTCAATTTTGAAGAATCAAGCTCGGATGCAGATTTTTTTTTTTTTTTTTTTTTTTTGTGGGCGTTGGCCAAATTTGGATTTTTCAGATATAATCCTAAATAGGACCTAGATTATTTAATACTCTAGTAACCTCAAGTCCGTGCTCTGTCACAATGTTTCATTGTGATTAATCAACACTCAAAGGGGTAAAATATCAAATTTGGGGTGAATTTGAAAGAAAGGGAACTTGGAGTGTAGAGCGCACTGCCCACTGGACGATTCTGAAGCCTGGCCAAGTGAGTGGGGTATGGGTTTATTTGATTGAACGTCATTTCCAATGTATATATTGATACATTCAACCATTGGCATTTGAGATAAGACAGAGATAGGATGCGGAGGGCCCGCTTAGGGGAAGCGTAACCCATGTTATGGTTTCCATTTGTTGAATAGTTCAGATGGGCTGGAGGTGGCGTGTTCATGGTGAGAGGATGTACCATATGGGGCCCGTTGATCAGTGAACGGGCCCCATATGGTACATTTTCTCACTATGAACGTGTCATTTCCGGCCTGTCTGAGCTGTTTGGTGGATGGAGGCCATAACATGGGTTACGCTTCCCCTAAGATTCACATCGTCAGACCCTGCCCAAGAATAAGGGGATTGACGATGACTTGTCAAGTTTTATTTTGAATTTGCGTTTTGCATTTAATACTCTAGTAAATCTCGCGTCCGTGCTCATTCACAACAGTGTGAGGTGTCAATACTCACTGGCTCATATGTCTTAGACCAGTTCCAGATTAGTTTACTATTAATATCTTCTGCATCGCAGTTCGCGATAGATTCCTAAATATGGGTTCTCTTTTCCGACCATAATAGTGTGAGGGAAGGGGGTGAGTTCTGGATCAACAATGGAGGGGGGCCCATCGGTTTTTGTGGGCAAACCGTCCAAAGCCCATTCCTCACAGATCGGAGGCTGCTCACGCAGACCAACACCATCTTCGTGTAGGTGGAAGTTTTCCCTATCCGATGATGGTGTTGGTTTGCGTGGGTGGCCTTCGCTTTGTGAGTGGGGGCTTTGGAGCGGTTTGTTTACAAATGCTGATGGGCCCTTTTCTATTGTTGATCCAGAGTTAAACGTTGCGATATGAGAGCGAATAGAGGCAAATAAATAGGGAAGACAACACCATGACCCAATGCATGCGGTTCACACTTAACTTGTTCTATTTCTTTCTTTCTTCCTATCATGTACTAATATTAACTGCCTGAGGACAAATGGGAACACGACCAGAAGATCAATAGGAGAAAAAGAAAATTTGAACAAGAAAAGAAGAATTAAACTTGCACCGGCAAGAGGAAGCAGACAGAAAGGATCATGCCGGTTGGAGACAGCCAATGTATACTGGACGAAGCTTGTATCTAGGAAAAGTCGTATGTGCAGGAAACCGTAAGTAGGATAAGAATCGTAAAAGGTGTGTGCTTGCTTGATAAGATCCTAATTTTACTTTAAATACACGGTAGGAATCGAATATCCATTTATGATTAAGGTTTTGCCCATTTTTCAGTGGGAGTGGCAATACTCATTGATGAGTGATTTATCGTACCCATTTATTAGTAACTGTTAGCAGCTAATGATTAATTGATTTACCTATTTTAGAATTACCTATACTTCACATCAGAACCTCATTTCCTTCAATTACTACTCCGTCGCAGCACACACCTTATATGGATCGCTAACCTTTATTTAGTTTCAGCATTTTCGACATTATAATCAAAAGGTGAGTTTTAAAAATATAATTATCATGCATATAGATAAGTTAATGTACCAGAACCTGGACGGACACGAGCCTACCCAGGGGAGGACCCGGATACGACCACCCATGTGTGTCTAGAGTATCGCACGAGCTGACGAGTGCAACGGGAAGGACAGTAGGTGTATAGACTAGGGGGTTGGTCC